CAAGGAGTCAGTCTGAGTTGCCTTCAGCTCAGCTCTCCACATGCCACGTACTTGTACTTACTCCAGGAGTTTCCAGAAACTCTTTTTCATGGACTCTATGGTCTCAGTTCAAGTTTGCTGTTGAGTTCAAGAGATGCTGGCTACCCTGTTCTTTATGATTTTGAATTTGCTGTTCACCATACTGGACTATACCACATGGCCCCAGAAGACCTCAAGCCAGAGAGCGAGAATGTCCGTGGGCTGTGCCCCAGCAATGCACTGCAAGCCCAGCCTGGAAACTGCACTCAGTCCCTTGATTTTCTGTTGGACACTTGCACTGCACAATGAGCTGAGCTGCACCCTTAGCCAGTGCCTGTTCTGAAGGTAGACTCATTGATTTCCAGCATGAAGTGCTATGGGAACCAGAGGAGTGTGAGTGCCAGTGTCCAGTCCTAGATAAGTAGTATGCATGGTCTTCAGAATGAAATATGTGTCTTCTGGTGTTTCGTTTTGGAGTGTACATTTGTGATTAATGACAAACATGTTATTTATTTTAAAGTTGCAAAAATAATCTTTGGGATTCAGTAGATTTCTGCAGGACGTTATCTGAAATTAGATGGCACTTCTTGCTGAAACTTTAGATTTCTCCTGAAACAATAATGAACTTCATCTGTAAATACCTCCATAATACAATTAAAAACATCTGGTAGAGGGAATTGATTTTGGAAACATTTTCGCTGGAAAGGAAGTCAAATTCACTCCTGGGAGTGGGGTCTCTAGTAGTGCTTCCTTTTCCTCTGAAATAATAGTATGAAGTAAAACTATTCTGGAAAATGTCAACAAAACCTTAATTTGATGTACAAGGGCTGAAAAACCAAAGCTATAAGAAGAACCATGGGACAAAAATGTGTTTACACAGATGCTGGATTGTATCCCAGACCTATGAAAATAGTTCTAAATACTCCCAGGGCCGAACAATGGGACTGAAGTGAGGCATCAAAGAATAATTTATATATGTTAACTTGCTCCCACCCACTATCACACTGTGTGGGATTTTTTTTTTTTTTCCCCTGCAAGCAAAAATAATCCAGATAGCATGAAAGGTTTCTAATGCATTTACTGTGTTATCCCATACCCAGGCAGGGAACACATCAGCAACAAAGGCTTGATTTGAGATGGCCTGCATTACTGCTTTTACCTATGTAAAACAATTTCAGGTAGAATACAAGCCCTTTATAAGGCAGCTGCTTCACAGAAATTAGTTTAATGCATTCATTTTTGTGTAAAATCTGCAGGCACCTGAGCTGGTGGTGACTGACACTCTTGCTACTAGCTCAGGCACAGACTAATTAATGCCTTGAGAGGAGCTGAAATGGGGCTGCTGGACTCATGAGTGGGAGTCATGGTCAGCCCCATGGTCAGGTCCATAAAGGCCTGTTAGTGCCCTTGGGGCCTGAGAAATACTTGCAGGGCACTTATTTTCAGGATCTAACTTAAATGTGTTACTTTGAATGGACAGCTTTATGAATAACAGAACAGATTGGACGTAGTATTATATAGAAGTAGGTAAGACTGTTTATTGTTTACATTTGATAGAATCAAGAATACTAGATTTTTAGATTATGGTGCACTCTTCAGTGACTCATTCTCTTTTTCAGTGTTTGAGTTGCACAGTTAATATTGCCCAAGTAGCCACTGGCAGAGCAAAACTACCTTCCTACACTTGGCCTATACACCTGAAGAAATAATAATTGCCTTTTTTCAGGACAGCTGACAACCCCGCTAACAGTAACCTCAGAAAACTGAAAGATTTCCCATAATTTACTTTGTTTTTTATACAACTTTGATCTGAAGTGCATGTGTGAGGTAAGGAGGGAAGAGGAAGAGGAAAGGCCGGTATTAATTGTAGAGGGTGCAGGCAGAGTAGGATAACAAATCTGAAATAAATCATACAACCAAATCATAACAGGAAAATTGTTGATAGCCTGAGCATTGTAGAGAGCCAGCACACTCTCCCCAAAGTGTGGTGCCCTTTCATGAGTGTTCCTGGAAAGCTCAGGCTTTCCCTAATGTGATAGAATATCAGATCTAAATTGCTAACTAACTTAATTTTCTACCCCTTTACCTCAGTTTAGAACCGAAAAAACCCCATCCTCAAAACTCATGCAAAAACCAACCAAACTAAGAAAACTCCAAAGCCCCCTTCAGTGGCAACAGCCAAACTACACCAAATGGAGACACAGATCTAAACTGGACTCTGCACATGACTGTAAATGAGTATGTGTTGGAGTGGTTATGAAAACTGCTTCTCTTTGACTAAGTTTTGCTTGCAGCTTCAATTTGCTGAAGGTGTTTCTATTACCCCTCGAAAATGTTTCCAAAAACATGCACTAAAATGTCTCATGATTATTGAATGATTCTGCAGCATTACAAAGCAGTCCTGGCTGGATAATGCATAACTTCCTCTTTCTCAGTTTTTCTTGGTAGTCTTATTTTCTGGCATCTTATGTGATACAGTGAGCTACAGAGACTTATTCAAATTTCAGGACAATTGGTTACTTTACACTGAGAAGAACACTATGCTTACACAGTTCATGAAGAGTAAAACTTTTGGCTTTTAGAATAACGACTAGATGGAACTTGGAAATTAATTATATTTTCAATTCTTGGGCATTATAAATCTTGGCTTGCAGTATTATAAAACAATTGTTGTTTTAAGTGTAGGAGCCAACGTAACATGAACAGGTCATAGATATGGTACTTCCAGGTCATGGAACACTTACGATTGAAATCACCAGTGACACAGGCTGAAGCTAACATCAAAATAAAGCAAATAAATATGTGAGCCTCAGTAGTTCTGGAGAAGTAGCTCCAATGAACTCGTTTCCTGTTGTCTTGTGTCTTACCATTGGTCAACTTTTGTATTTAAAATAACTTCTCATGTGTGCAAAGAGGGCTTATAATGGTTTTTTTGCTTTCTCTGTTCAAGTGTTGCTTCCACATCCAGTCTTCCCGTCATCGAGGCACTTTACTGGTCTACCATCTTAATCAGGCCACTTCTTTTCATGACATTTATGGAAGAATCATTATTTTTGAGACCTCTAGCCCCTACTCAACATAAGACTGAAACCAGAGAGCACACACACACAAACACAGACTTTATAAGCCTTGTTTCCAAAGGAAATTGCTCAAAAAAGATACTCTTCTGCCTTTTGTTTTACAAGTGATCTCATTGTAATAAAAACGGACGTCCTATAAAAGACAGTAGAAGCTTTTTCCATTCAAATGAAAGATAAACAATTAACACTACCCAGTATCAGAAGAGTAAACAAGTAGCAGTAAGTGACCCCAAAAGAAGGAACCATGCTCCCCCCTTAAAGTAGTAATGTTTCTTTTAGAAGAGAGGCAGGATTTTCATATCATGCCACAGATTGCTGCACTCATTTTCCTGCTATAATTTGGAGTATATCTGATCATAAAACTACCATTTCCCTCACCTAATTCCTTCCCCTAATAACAACAATAAAAAAAAAATAAATCTGTTTCTAATGTCCTGTGTAAGAATATGGCATAGATCTCCAGGGTTCATGTTAAAGTTGGGAAAAATACTGACTGAAAAATAAACAAAGGTAATATGAAGATCAGCCCACTCAGAAAGGAGACATTAGAGGACAAGGAAAAATTTATATTTTTATACATGTCATGAAAAAAATTAAAATTGTAAGAAATGTGTTCCAGCTATAAATCCTTTCAGATGACAAAGGTAAAGAGAACTATTCATAAAGTTAGGAAATTATGAAAAGGATAAGTAGTCCAAAATTACTTTTTCCGTAATTTTCCATGGTTGGTAGGATGAGCATAAAATAACACACTTCTCTGCTATTAGGATAAGCTCAGTAACAGGGTATGTATGCTGAGCAGCTAAAATATCAGTAGGGCTGAAGTAAGAATGGATTATGTAATGACTGATGCTGCAAGCAGGAAATTTGTGACTGCATGATACCCAGGGCTTCTGAATCTGATAGAAATCTCCCCACCACCTGTCACCAAACAGTTCCACTTTTAGGAATTTCTAGTGACAGAAAACCACCTAAAACCTTTTTAATTTTGTCTGATCTGACACCTCTTTGGAAGCATCACAGACTGTTTCCCAACCACTGTAAAAGTAATACTCAGGACACTGATTTTTCTCATTATTTATTGTGGCACATCAAAACATATAAACTCCATTGCTAGATGTTTCAAGCCAGTTAAAAAAAAAAAAATAAAATGAAACGAGGCTTTAAGTTTTAGGCAGCATTTCAGTAGATTTTGGTTAAGAATTTTTAGAACATTACTAGACAGGAAATTTTGCTAGGAAAACAAAGCAAAATAAGGCTTCCTTTCAGTAAAGCATGTATGTGTTTGCTTAAGGTTACGTTATTATGTCCATTGGCTCACCAGTATATTTTTTTCAGATAAATACATGGGCTTGACACATGAAAAAACCAAACTAACCCCTTACTTAACTCCTCTACTTAAACACCAACAAAGCTTGTAACTTATTTATACACACCCCATTCTATTTAATTTGTAACATGCAAGTTAGAAACAATTCTAGAGTCTGAACTATGAAAGTTTTTTCCATTTCAGGTTTTGCTACCTTAACAATTAAGGATGCTGATCAAACTTCAGCTTGCTATTAACTGCTTGTTGCCATATACTGCATGATCTTGAACTGATGGGAGCTTGCAGTAGAGCCTAAAATCAAACTGAGTTTTTATAAAACCTCACTTTAAAATTCCACTACAGTAACAACATTTGCACTTCATACATTTGACAATTTTATTGAATAGCCTCGTAAGTTCAGAATAGTTACATAATAGTTACATCACGGCTTTTAAAAAGGATTGCACTCAGCTACTCAGTTCATTGAAATACTAGAAAACAGGGAAAAGGAAAATACAGAGTGTA